TATGTAAATCTTCAAATATGGTACTTTAATATGTTTGCTTCTTAAAACCAAGTAAGTTTACAAAGTATAAACAAAAATACAAAGGGATTTTGTGTATGGAAATAAAGTTAAATAAAACGTCAAGTAAATAAGAAGCGGTAATTTAAAACACAATACAAAAATGATGAAATGTAAAACGAGTAATAAGTTTGTCTAGAGGTCAGTCACTTGAATAGAGGCCAAAGGTTCTGGATTCAGTCCCCTGTTAGATCATGGATACGCAGTGCTATGGAGAACCCTCATGGGACGAAACAATTTTTTGGCTCTTTCTGATTTTCGATAGTTGTAAAACTAATCATTTTGTGATGAAAAATGAAAATGACTGCAAATATCTGTGTGGATACATTACAGGGAATGAATAGTACTTCGATAAAACGAGTCCTCGAATACACATTTCTAATTGTCTCGACACTTTTGAGAAACTGTTTTCTCACAGCCGTGACAGGATCTGAATCAACTGAAACTGTCTCCCTTGAAATCACTCCTGTCTTTAAAATTATTGTTGGTCAGTACTGAATAAATATTACTGGGTCTTAAATGGTTTCTCTAAAAGAGAAAACCTGAAATGTTGCTGTATTCACCTAATAGCGATGATGAAAAGGCGATATTACGTAAATCTGCTTTATATTAGAACTATGATATAATTATTATGGGAGATCGAAGCAGAACACATGGACCTTCCTATAAATGTCATTCCATCAACGATCTAAAACGTCGAGATGGGCATCAGACAAATCAAGTGTGGGAAAGCAGCAGGACTTTAAAATATATTAGCGTAAACACTCAAGTCAGACATAGAAGTAACTGCAAGAATGCATCACGTTCAAATCAGGAAGATTTTGGAGGAAGAACAAATGCCGATGGACTGGAGAGTAGGAAACCTCATAGAGAAAAAAAAGTAAAGAGATTTGAGCAAGTGTGAGAACCACAGAGGAATCACACTACTATCGGTACTAGGAAACTTTTCCAACAGAATATTGCTGAATCGGATGAAAGATTTAACAGTCGCCCAAGTTGGAGATCAAAGGGCTGGATTCCGTAATGAATGGCTGTGCACAGACCGAATCAAGACATTACGGATAATCGTTGAGCAATCAGCTGAATGGAACTCATCGCTATACAACAACGTCCTTGGTTATGCGAAGGCGTTTGACAGCAAGGGTTGGAGAACCTTATAGAACATTCTTAGACAAAGTAATGTGTTTATAATGATCGTCAACATCATGCGAAATCAATATGACGGACTACAGTGTATAGGTGTGCACGGAGAACAGCTAACGGGCTCATTCCAAGTGAGGGCCAGTGTCAGCATAGCTGCTATCTCTCCCCCTTTCTCTTTCTTCCGGTGATTGAATGAATTATGGAGATTCCCATGTTGACATTTGATAAATAAAGAATGAATGAATCAAGTGAAGAAATTTCTTCGCAATTAGTTTTCCATCATGGCTCTACGCTAATATATATATATATATATATATATATATATATATATATATATGATTTACAATAATGATATAATACTCATCGAGTGGATTTGTTACGTAACAATTACATAATGACATTTAAGTACCATTCTCTCTCACTTGGTTGACAAAAGTCATCAATTTGAATTGAATAAAGCTTTTAATGTTATCTACCATATCCTATCAAATTTGCCACATGGTTTACGAGTGCGCCTTTTGCACATTGCGGAAGTCATCGCAAGCCATGTTCATAAACCTAACCTTTGCATTCAAAAGAGATTTGTACAACCACTTTCTCTGCCTTGGCCATCGGTATAAGATTTACCTCAACGAAACTATTTTTCATACTTCTTCCATTTTATTTTTCTCTTTTTTTAAATTTTTGTAATTTTGCTTTTGTTGTTTTTGAACATTATAATTTCGCAACATTCATCTCTTGATTATTACGTAACTACTATTCTATTGACCATCCATTAAAAATTCGGTTCCTTCTCTTTTTCATATATTACGCAACGTAGCAACTTCTTGATTTAATAATTACTTTCAATATTAATAATCCTCTTTCTTTCAATTACTTAATGTTAATTTAAATGTCATTATGTAATTGTTACGTAAAATATCCACTCGATGAGTATTATTTGATTGTTGTAAATCATACATACATAAAATCATGATGACTCTGATATCTGAGGTGAAACACGGAATAAAACGGACAGGTTGTATGTAAGTAGACAACTCAAACTTCACAGATAACCTAGCTTTTTTATCCAACACACACGAACAAATGCAGTTGAAGGCAACTAGCATGTGAAGCAGTAGGCCTCAACATGCACAAAGGTAGAACCAATATCCTCAGATACAACATGTAGAAAAACCCAATCACACTTTATGGACAAGTTCTGAAAGAGGTGGGAACTTTCACTTACATGGGCTGCGTGATCGATGACCGATGAAGATCTGATGCAAATGAAGAACATACGGAACTCAAAAAACTATCTATAAGCCAATATTAAAGTCACAGTCTTAAATACGATTGTCAAGACAGTTCTACCATACGAAGCTCAGACGCGGAGAACTGCCACAACCATAATCGAAATGGTACAAGTATTTATGAACGATTGTCTACAGAAGATACTGAATATCCGTTGGCCGGATATCATCAGCAACAGCGTTAATTTTCTCATCATATTATTTTGCTACTAAAACGGTTACAGAATGCAATATTTTTTCATCAGAGAACGTTTCTTAATAATTTAATAATGCAGTGGTAATTCGTTAAAAAAACATTTTATGGTTGATCCCCTTCTTATTCTTAACATAAAAGAATGTTTCAATCAAGCAAATAATAAATGATGTGAGATCTCTGTCTTACAGCTACCATTTAACTGGTGTTTCAAAGACAGTAAATTAATTTATTTATTCAGCAAATTGTATCATTTCTTTCCCGAATCCACAGTACGTTTTGTCACTCACACGATTGTTCATTACTGAATATCTTCCTAGAAATTACTATTATTCAACTGATCATAATTACGTAGCTTGTGTTGAATCTGTGTTTGTTAGTGAATTTCTGAAAAGGTTTGCATCAAAGAATGTCTGGTGCCGCTATGTTTTAAAATACTAAAAATGCATTTGGCACAAATCAGGACAACACGTATTGCTTTCAGTTATACCACATGGCTAATGTTATGTCTGTGTTGTATGTTGAACGATATCACGCGCCTAAATCGCCATTCACGATAGCCGGTAATGATTTTTCTATCTCGCATATGATGTTTTTGCCTATAGTCTACAATTATTACACACCCAGCCGTCAGCCCGAAGAGACATTTTTAGACAGTCTTCTATTAGCATTATGTATCTACCGCCCAGCCAGCCAGCATCTTTCTCAAACACTCAGCTTATATCCAACACTTATCAGACCACAAATCGCACTGACTAATAAATCGTACTTTGAACACAATCAATCAATAAGTAGCAGAGAACGATGCAAATAGTGCATAGTTAATTATAAATATTTAAGAAGTAGTAAAACGCAAAACAACACTTAATAGGCCTACTGGAAAATTACAATAAGAATAATGCAAAAATCCTATAATACAGTTATCTAGTAGTTTGCAGTGAGATTATATATCATAATAATAACCCGTAAGATATTTTCAAAGGTTTTTACTTTTCTAACGTTCCTTGTTTTACAACAGCTACTATCGATAAAGTATGTTAAAGAGAAGCTGTGAATTTAATATTTTACCATCATCAAGCGCCTTAGCTATCGTCTTTCTTTGTAGTTTGAAAATGGTTAGAATTAATCAACAAGCAACCCATTCCTAATAGGCCTAGGCCATAGTAACCATGTAATGGAATTGAAAACAGTATTGTACGTCTAAATGTGTCACTACATTGTAATTTTGAAAACTTTTCTGACTCACAGATTAAATGGTTTAGGCCATAAATGTGACTTTACTGCACACTTATTTCACTTGCTTAATTTTTATTAATATGAAAATTATTAAACATCGTTTTGCAACAAAAACCAGGCAATATTGCTGAATTTCGCTGCAGTAATCGTCAATAGAGAGGTTTACATAATATCTGTCTATATATGAGGTGTAATCGTTGAAATATCCAGTGGGTTTTAGCATTTTTGACTTAAAACTAATTATCAAAACTAGTTACAATGAAAATCAAGAAATATCTAACTTATAAGTTCGGTTTCGAATACAAATTCAGCTTATTTTTTCAAAGTGTTTATTTCAGTGATGTTTTGCATTAAACGTATTCTGATTAAAGAATTCTTAGTCTTCTTTTTCTTTCATTAAATATCCATAACTGTCTAGTAAATCCTTCATAGTTTCAATAGTTATTAGCCATCATTCCAACTTTCTTTCAACATTGTGAGTCATTATCATGTCATCATATCTATATATATATAAATCGAATGTTCTATCGAGGATATTTTTGTACCATTCAATTACTTCGCACATATTCATTTTATTTATAATCGGCAAATAATTCTTTTTTATGATAACCTATGACTGTTAGTGTTCTTTCTCCATCCCAATACTTCTTAACAAACAAAGTACTCACTTCTTGAATAACTTTATGAGTCAAACACTGTTGGATGCCAGCTCAGTGGTCTAAAGGTTAAGTGTTCGTGCACGAGACTGATAGGTTCTGAGTTCAAATCTCGCGAGGCCTGATCGTGAATTCTCACTGCTAAAGATTCTCATGCTAAGACAAAGCGGTCATTCAGTAGTTCCAGGTTTTTCATAGTGGTCTAGATTCAAATAACTAAAACAAGTGTCAAGATACAGTGTTATTCTCCCAAATATTCTCTATCGTTCGGTGTGTATGTTTCTTATCAGTTCCATCTGGAACAACATATCATTTCTTAAGTGTTAAAAATTGTACATACACTAATCATTGAAATATAATAGTTACCATCAAAATAAGTTTTAATATGTGAAATAAATAGCCAAGAAATAAAAACACTCAATATATTAAAACAATAATGATATATTCCTTTTCTTTTCAATTACCAACATAATATAATGCAATCAATGAAGACAAATATACGAAAAGTCAAGTACATTGAATAGATCCATAAATTTTTATTGTTCAATATAATTATCTTCATAAGTTCTTTTAGAAATTATTCTTTTATCCAGATTTAAATAGAAGGAATGCTCGATCATCCAAATAGAAATATATAAAATTATGTGTTTCATGTGTTACATAACTTTATTATGTAATGATGAATAAATAAAAGGAAAGGAGAAATAGAGAGAAAAAATGTGCATTTAATTATTGATATAAAATTATTGAAAATTGAAGAAAATAGTACCTAATATATCGATTTCTAAACCTGATTTAAATTAAAGCAGGTAAATATCTTATCGATTTATCATACATTCGGATTTGTAAATGATTCCAATTCAATTCAATTGATGAAATCATAGATACAAAGAAGTTGAACCAAAACGATTATGTATTGTTTAGTTTGATTGATAGTTTTTGAATAGTACATTTTGAGAATTTGTTTTATGGAAATTACAAGCTATATAAACAAAGATGAATGGTGGTTTGTAGTGGAATCAAAAAAACGTGAGTTTCATCCTAATTTGTACTCGTCAGCTAGATGTACCCAAAGTTGATTTACACTCTGGGACTTGAACCCCGGTACTGTTCACTTTAAACACTATCATATTATCCACTTAATTACTGACCCTTAATAACCACTTACTTGTACAAATAAATAATACAAGATGGAAAATACAGTTTAATGTTCAATATTATCAATGAAGATTACATTTTGAACTGTAGAATTATGGCATTTTATATATGTACATGTATAGACCTATACATAAATGTCTTGTAGTTTCTTAATCTATTAAAAGTGTTGAATTGATATTATTTAACAAATGATACCTTGGTAATCATGATACATGATATATAAAATATGATTTATTCATTCATTAATAATTAAACTTACCTTCCAAAATTTCGTCCAACAATACAATGCCATGTAGGATTATATTTACGATCAAATTCTTTTTTAATATTAGCAGCTATATCTTTTTCTAAATCATGTTTATCTAATGCACCAGCAGCTATATGTATTGCATCCTCTTGCATTTCATTACTCATATCGGCATTTTTAATTACAGCTTTACGTTCACCCATATTGTAATAATAATAATAATAATTTTAATTGAATTCAAATACAATTATTATTATTATTGTTATATAATTTAGAGAAATTTGTACAATTTTTATAGTATTTATTTTATATTGTGTTAAATTAGGGTATTCATAATTTCTTATTTCATTTTAGTAGCATAGCTTCAAATGAATAAGCTATTATGATTTAATGAATTAAATTGTTCATATACATGTATATATATTTATATATATACATATCTAATATGATATACACAACATTCAATTGTGATTAGCTTAGAGTTAAATAATTTATTTAGGATAGTGATAAGATTGATTAATTAGTTAAATGAACTATTAGACAATATCAATGAATTAATTTATTAAATTACAAATATGTTCATTTGTAAACATGTGGAAAAGTCTATTTAAGTAATGATGATGATGATAATGATAATCATTCAGTCAGTCAGTAACAACGTAGAACTTCGTACGTACGTACAACAGTTCGAGTTGCCATACTAGATGAGCATAGAAATGCAGTTGTCGATTCAAATCCCGTAGTGGTAGAGGTAGTAAGAGTATAAGCAGTAATCGGAAAGATTAGGGGTTGAAGGTGTTATTTATAAAGTATAATTTAGTGAAATAAATTTGGGAAGAGAAAAAAGAGACAAGGAGGAATCAGGAGATTAGAATTTGGGAGAACACAAAGGGTGGATCTGTAATGGTTGAATATATATATATATATATATATATATATATATATATTGGTGAGACTGATCTGATACAGCGGGCACATTATTAACACTTCAGTGAATGTGTATTATTTTTGTAATAATGCATATCTGTTTCTTATGACAGAGAGGTAAGATTCATTACTACTGAGCGATTTGAAACGCAAGGGCATCTTCAAAAAGAACATTTTCACTAGCCCTTTTCAAATAAAACTTGTTGATGTAAATATGTTCTATACTCTATCACATTAAGAATGTTATAACTTCAAGTTTCATTGTATTGAATTGGATCAGTCAATGAAAAACAGTTTATTGAATATCTTAAAGAAACAGGTTAGATTTACTTTAAGACTCAGCTTCTATAATGGCATGAAGTCTTTGATAAATGAATTTATGGTTCAAAGTAAAATGATCAAATGGAAACGGATTGTAAAGCACTGTTAAACAGGTTTCGAAGCTTATACCTGGTGAAAACACTACTCAGAATTAAGGTGGAGTATTCTAGGATCACAAACGTTATTCTCATAAAAGATGTGAGTATACAAGTGAAAAGTCGTTGAGAACTTGTTGAAATTTGTTCTGCGAAAGACATATAGTAGTGATATCTGAGTCCACTGAATGAAAATTAGATAGGACCTTACCATTCATATCGTGTATATCTGCATTTAGCAGTACTAACTTACAAAACCCGTTTTGAGCTTCATAAATAGTCTTTATCATGTCTCATGTAGATACAGTTTGTAAATCGTTTAGTTCATGAACTGATTATTAGTAAACTACTTTAAGATCACTTGTTTGTCAGAGCTGGAACAGTTGTAGATTTTGCCTAGTTAAGCTTGATAAATTAAATTAAAAGGGTTAATTCACGGTTTTCCTAGTTTAGTGTAATCATTTAGATCCAAGCCCACCTACTTCAGGACTGCTTGAAATCTAAATGGAGGTTGTGGATTCAGTAATTTGAAGATAAGTGAAAGAAATAGAACGTATGGTGCTGTTAGTCATATGTGTGACTTAACAGAAGAAGTGTTCATTTGATCCCTAAAGTACTACTGAAAACGTTAGAGTGGGTTTTAAATTTAAAGATCTAATTGATTTATTTCAAATTCATATGATTAAATGTCATATGTTAATTTGCTTTCCTCGGCATTACAATTTGCCTTCTTTTAAATAAAGTAACAAAAATGGACTTGAGTTTCTTCATATATGTGTGTCACTATCTCAATTCAATTGTAAACTTTGTTTCTTTAATGTTCAGTAATAACTCGTCTATGTTCAAATATGTAATCTGCATTTCAATAAGCTTCTTCTTTTTCAATAAGACTTCAAATGGTGACCTTCATTCAAAACTATAAATGTTAAATTTAATGCTATGGTATAAAGTCTAAAATAATGCTAACTAGCAAATTAGGTAAAATCTAGACGTTTATATGAAAGGCAGCTATTGTAGAGATTTCGAATGACTGGTGGATCATTATTTTTAACTTAATGGACCTATTATAATAACATATTTATTCTTATATGGATTTATTTTTCAAGCGTAATATTAGTATGAAATTTCACTGAAATATACAATCTGTAATTGTTTGCATAATTCCGTTGCTAATATTTTAATTCAATTACAACCAGTATTAGTTTATATATTTGCACTCTGTGGCTCTACACAAATATATATCAGATTTGTAGCTATGGAATAATACTTGTCAAGTAGTTGGGTTACGTAATAATAACATGATATTGCATTGTTTACATAATAAGACTGAGTAATTGAGAAAAACAGGTCTATAATAATGAAAGTAATTATTCAGAAAATCAAAAAGTTGTTACACCGGATAATGCTTTAAGACAACCAACAAAATATTATCATGAAAGGCTAGTAATACAGTAGTTACGTAGGAATCAATAGACGAATAATAAGACTTTGTAAAAATGTAGTTAGAAGGAATTATGATATGATCAGTATTGTTTTATAGAGATACTTGAGTTTTCACCGAGATCATGAACTGACCAATGTTATATCACCATTGAAATCATGGAAACACTGAACTTCTGCATCGTCCTAGTAGAGTGCTCTTCAGCAATGTGTATCTACAATCCCATTTGCAGGACCCGAACCCAGGACCTTCGGTTTCCGGCGAGCGCATAATCTCAAAACCACTGAGCCATGATCCAACGGTGTTAGTGTCTTACTTCAATTAATCGACGATATTTGGCGACGATCTTCTATTGTCTGCCTGACACACGACACAGTTGAAGTCTCTCATATCTAATTAGTACAGTACCATTGAAATGAATATATTGTTCTACTGTAGGCTTTCTATGTGTTCGTCTTTTTAGTATTCCATCTACTCTGTTTGTTCGTTGGACATCAGAAACAATGTAATAATTCTCCGTCCCTCCTCAAGTGTAAAACTAATAGATGCGTTAACGTTATTAAATATATTAAGACTAAGTGCGCATCTTAAATTCCACTACCAAACCTATTCATCACCACATGAAATCCTTGAGAATTAATTGCTCTATTGAAGTCATTCATACAATTTTCATGCATGCCAAAAGAAATTGATCAATTACAGACTTAAGCATCAATAGAAAGATCCAAACAATCAACATCTATATGAATTATATATATATAGTTATGCTGATATTCACCTATTAAAATATTTCTGTTATATTCAATGTTAACAAAGATTGTGGCGTCAGCAACAATATTTTCTTTTTTGTTTTCATGCTTATGTAAACTATGCTAAATCTTAAGAATTATATTTTTTACTAAATGTTTTATAATTCATTCTTATTGATTACAACTTAATATACACGTATTAGAGAAACATTCTTAACATTGTTATTATATAACTAAGTTTCATGAATGAAATTAATGATGACAAGTTATGTATAAAATTGATCATAATTTACATACAATAAAATTTAATTTTATTTCTATGTTGAAATTCTTGTTTAGTAGCTTGGCTTCATTTTATCGACATATCATTAACAATGTATGTAGTGTATTTAACCATTCATCTCTAAATACATTAGGTCGATATTAATAGTGGGTGGTTTAAAATATATGTATAAATATATATATATGTGTGTGTGTATGTGTACCACTATCTTATTGTTGTTTTGCTATTTTTTTTAAAAAAAAATAGTTGCCAGTTGTTTACCGACTTGCAAATACTTTTGACTAACTGTAAATGCAAACACCAATATACTGTATGTATTCTGTGTAAACGTTTTGTGAAATAATTCAAAATTCTTGTTTTGTTATTATTGACACCGTAATATATCGTACAGTTAAACAAAATAGAAACTTTTGTATTCTTTGTTATTGAAAATTTAATTTTTAGTCTGGGTCAGTCATGGCCCGGATAATCCAGTGGTAACGTCTCTGATTGTTGAGCTGGGTGATACGGGAGTATGAGTTCCGTCAAGTTTATAGGTACAACTTGCTGACGAATGCCGAATAGCATGAAATCCAGGTCCAGGGTTTCTTGTCAACTATATGTAACAATCATATTATTTCAACATAGTGCACACAATGTCGAGTTATCTAGACTAGTGGCCATATTACAACTTGCTAGATAGGATTCGATCTGAATTTAGAAGGACCTGACACACATGACATTGATCACTACCCAGTGATCAATCAACTGTAGAGAATAAACTAAAGAATATCTTAGTTGGTAAATATTTAAATGTTAATCAATCAAATATAAGAAAATACAATATCCATTTATGTGTTAGGTTGAAGATGCCTTAGCATTTTCTAATGTAGTAATTAATTTATTCGTATTAAAGTGACACGTAGATATTTACTCTGAAGTTTAAGAGATTAGTTTTAGCTGTTGTGAACTGATGAATCATAGATCGAATTCAAAACTAACCACTTGTGGCACTTATTACATGAAATCCTCTGACAAATATAACTTGAAATGGTTTCATTCTAAATCTTTGCAACAAAATGAAAATCTTTAGTTAACAGTAAATTTAGTGAGATTATTTATTTTAGTTGTCATGACGTATCATGCACTTATTTATTAATGTGCCAAAGAGGAATATCACACCGAATTTCTAATACATTTATTTCGTTGTAATTTTTTGTGGTAACTGAGAAAATCATAATACATGATTTTAAAATTTGTTTAGTTACATGTCTTTTTTTGTAATTAGAAGGTATAGTTAGAGATATACTTACGTATAAAGCCTACTTGAGTGGGGACTATAACTATTTTTGAATTTAGAACCACAGTATATTATTCTGTCCCTTTTACAAAACTCAAAATAATAAGATTTAATTAACATTGTTGATATGCCATTTATGTACTACATATCCAGATAATTTAACTTCAATATTCGGGTGTATTTTCGCCATGTAACCAATATGAACAATTTGTACAGTTCATTTCCATAATATACTTTTTCATTCTACGTAAACGTCATGTATTTATATTCTAATGAGTTATCTCGATTGTAGCGATATACAATTATATTGACTGTTAGGTAAAAACCTTTTTATCAAAGTTACATTTATCATATGGATTGTTTAATTTTTTTTACAAAAATCCATATTTTTCATTGCATACACATGAACATATGCAGATAAAAACAGCCAGTGTAGCAGTAGTCACTGCATCAGTAGGCCTCAACATACACAAGGGAAAAGCCAACATCTATTGGCCGGATACCATCAGCAACAGTCTTCTGTGAAAGAGAAAATCCCAGCTTCTAGTTGAAGAGGAAATTAGGAAAAGGCGATGGAAATGGATAGGACATACACTGCGCAAATCGTCAAACTGCATCATGAGGCAAGCCGTAACATGGAATCCTGAAGGGAAATAGAAAAGTGGAAGGCCAATGAACACATTACGTCGGGAAATAGAAGCAGATGTGGAAAGGATGAATAAGAACTGGAAAGAGCTGGAAAGGATTGCTTGGGACAGGGTTGGACGGAGAATGCTGGTGGGTGGCCTATGCTCCTTCACGAGGAGTAACAAACGTAAGTAAGTAAGTAAGTAAGCCATGTTTTTTTATTCCACAGCTTCCACATCTTAAGTTTGATTTTATATATGTACTATCAAATAAATAACTTAATCTTATAAAAATGTAGTTCTTTTATATGATTATAATTCATAGTTTCCATTAGCCGTTACATATCAATATCATTTAGTAATCACATTATACTACACAAAGTTTCTTATCGTTTGTTTAATGAATCTTACATAGAAATAGAATATATGATCTAACTCATAATAGTTTATTAAATAAACGTCTTATTCATCAAACAAGCAAGTTGATTTAAAGAACAACACAATTGTATCAAATTACAATTATAAACCTTAAAATAACTTTATAAGAACAGTTAAATATTTCATTAAATTGGTCAAACCATAGAAAATGTATTCATCATTATCATTATTATAATTAATGTATTACATCAAAGAATAGTTTACTCTTTTTCTTCATAAATTTAGTTGATTTATACAAAGACAAATAGAAAATACATCAGAGTACAGATTATTGATTATCTAACTTTACCATCTAATTAACAAAGAAACAAAACTTTTAGAAACTCAATGAATTACTATGGAATTATTATGTTCAGAGTCAAAAACAAAACAAAGAAAAATTGCATAGACATATATATATATATATACAACTTACATTGATATCATTGCGTAATTTTGTGTAATTCTATATGTGATTAATAGGCATACTAGTTTTAAGAATGTATTTTCATTAAACCCTTCTGTATATTATAAATATTAAAAAAAACTAATATTCTGTAAGTAGAATATATTATAAATATTAAAAAAAAACTAATATTCTGTAAGTAGAAGATATACTATTTCTAACTAGTGAAGTATAAATTCATATATTATTTGAAGTCAAATGTAACATGTATGTAGATGTATTCAAATCCAAAATATGGTATCATTTATTCTTCACTATTAAGTTTTGACTTGAGAATTCAAATATTTCATTTATAAGAAGTGGATTTCAATATCGGTATTGAGAGTTTACTTTATCTTAACTGAATAACAGGGGTCATTGATCTTTGTTCACCTAAATATGCTTGCAAACTATACTAATTCTTAGAGTGTAAGAGGACAGGTGGAATAGATGAATCTGTTAATATCAAACGATTTAAAAGTTTGAATTTATATAACTCTTAAGAAAAGAACACATAACCAATGATTTTTTTATTAGACTAATCTTCGTATTTGCAAAGATATCGTATAATGACACATTAGCATATCCCCTATTGTATATATCAGTGATATAGAGTTTAAGTGTTCGCGTGTGAGACCAGCAAGTCCTTGGTTCGAATCTCGCGTGGCGGGATCGTAAATGCGCACTACTTAAGAGTCCCGTACTAAGACGAAACAACCGTCCTGTGCTTCCAGGTCTGGCTTTAATTGACGCATGAATTCATCTATTAAATATTCGCAAAAGTTGAAATTCAAGTTTGAAGCATGGTAGAAAATGATTGACTTTAATAGATGACAGGTAGATACTTCGTGAAAATGACTATCCAAACTTGATGCAGTTATTTTCAATACATAAAGTAATAAATTAGGTCTTGTTTCACAATACGTTAACATGATTTTAATCAAATAAAAATGAATTTTAATAATCAAATGTCCATAGGTTTAGCACATTAACTGTGGAATTTTTAAACCACTGAATAAATATTCCGTTGATGTTGTCATACTGTGTTGTGTGCTACTGATGTCCACAGATATCAATAGTATGTATCATTAATAGGAAGTGAAATATCTGGTAGCAGAATGTTAAGAAGATCGAAGAAAAGAGAATGAAAACAGAGAATGTTCGGTGTGGAAACGAAGGAACAATAAATTCTGAGACGATTGACTGTTATTTAGCAAATTAATTATTTACTGTATGGTTCTCATATTTTACTAAGACGTTCTGTAATTTTCTATTCAAATACATCCGATTGTTCCCACTTGTGTTTTCCTTCACTGTAATACAACTAAATTTGGCAAATTAGTCTGTTAAGATTTTAACTGGTTAAATTAGGCAAATACATGTATTTATAAATATGTATTCTTCATTGATCATTGTACAAAGTAGTGAGTTTTGGTAGAAAAAAACTTTTACTTATTTATCAGAATACTTTTACTGTAGTGTATGTTTCTTATGTTGTCAGATATAAGTAGTACGTAACACTAATCAGAGGTTGGCAGACAAAAAAATACAATTACGATAAGGACTATACAATTTGAAAAGTTACTATTTTAAAAAAGAATGAATTATATTGATTAACACTTTGTACAATACGTTGACACTATTAAAATTAACACATTTCCTATTCAGATTTCATTTCATCTGTCATTAATAACATGAATTATCTATTTCACATTACGAACTAAATGACTTGCTAGTTTGTATACTATTTATAACTGACAATTCTGTAAAACCTATCTGATAATGTTAGTAAAGTAATGGAATACAAATAATTTGGTACCTTTCAAAGATATGATTACTATATAACTTTGATCGTATGTATTTATTCCATAATAAAAATAAGATAAAAGAAAGAATATATATTAACATTATCTTTGCAAATAATTCTGCTTGTTGTTGGGCACATAGTTAGACATAAGAATTAGAAAAAAAACCAGAAAACTCTTTCATAAAATGGACTATTTCCTCTTCAGTATAATAAATCAGTTCAAATTCAAGGTACTTTCAATCAACTTGATACTACGAACAATTTTATTGTACTCATAAATGTTATTCAAAAGTGAATGAAAATATAATTAGTTTATGTATTATGAAGTATATAATACTGCGTCACAAGGCAAGTCTTTACATGGAATCAAGGTCGAAGGAAAAGGGGAAGATCAACGAACACATTACGTCGAGAAATGGAAATAAACATGAGAAAAATGAACAAAAATCGGATAATACTGGTAAAGAAGGCCCAGGACAGAGTGGGTTGGAGAATTTTTGTTGGTGGCCTATGCTTAAGTAAGGCGTAAGTAAATAAGTAAGTAACATAATACTTCGCTATCCCGTAAATACAATCACGAATACGAATAAGATCTAATTGTTACCTACATCATTCATTTGTCATTCAAACTTTTAGAAAGCCTAACAGAATAACTTTGAAAACAAATAATATATATATGTAATATTCCAATGAGTAGAAAAATTAGATTTTCTAACGTTTCGTGACTTAATGTAACCTACTTCTTCAGACAATACATAATCAACTTAAAATTAACAGAATAACTTTGATGTTCATCTAAAGTTATGTTCAATAGTATAGAAATATCGTACAAGGAACTGTCGATAGTAATATTATTCTTCTTGTTAAAGTTATCTAGTGAAATTCATCTGTTATTTCAAGTTTAAATTATCTAACTTCAGATAAGTTTATGAATATCAAAAATGTAGCTCATTTTGAAAAAAAATCAAACAAACAAATTTCTGTTTTTCATAATCCTATTAACTAATATAAACAAATGAAATGATTATCACAATTAAAAGATTTAGTTTATAACGTTTTCTACCATTTTTTTTCTAAGAGATTGATTTGAACCATTATAAAACTGAATAGTTGTAAACAAATAGTTTATGATTATTTAAAAATAAACAAAACAAACAATCATTAAGTGTAAACATATGGTAACACAATATAATGAAGTTATGATACACATTCATTTATACTCACAGTCCTATAGTCAAACTCATATATTACACTAACGCACATAGTTCAACTCAATCATAAGTAAACATAACAATAAAGAAAGACACAGAGAGAGAGAAATCATTTAAAGAAAGATAAGTGATATGGTAAACACACATATAACTTTTTTTTCTCTAACTACAAATAAGAATAGTATTTGTGTTCATTTACTTGTCAGCCTAATATATAATAGCTATGCTATAATAAAAACCAATTTTCGGAATAGCTCTTTTTTTCTTTTTTTTTCTTCTTCTCATCTAATCAGGTGAATTGAAGCTAATTTACTAAACATGAATCTACGAATGAAAATAGTGATATGATTAAGTACTTAAAATTATGAATGGTATAAAAGTACTAAATGTTCAGGTATAATACTTCATTGTGTTTATATTCATAAATTAAGTTAAATGGGAGAACGTAAAGCTGTCATTAAAAATGCTGATATGCATGAAGATATGCAAGAGACTGCTGTACATACAGCTGCTGCTGCACTTGACAAATATGAAATTGAAAAAGATGTTGCTGCTTATATAAAAAAAGAATTTGATAGAAAATATAATCCAAATTGGCATTGTATTGTTGGAAAACATTTTGGCAGGTAAGCACCATGAATAAAAAACATTTATCTTTATGTTAATGTCCTTTCATTTTGAAGTATAATTAATATATAATGTCTATTATCAGATATAGTGGATTCGGTAACTTAAGAAACATAACTAATTAGATGTAAAATAACAAACGCCTATATTTTATAACATTATCTCTCATTTTATAAAATTCCTTTTCATTCTATGTTATGTTAGTTTAGGTTGATAAGGATGGTAGGATGATATACAAATGTTTACCTTTTATTGATTTATTAAATACACAATATTTTAATATCTTCCCTTTTTTGTAATTCTAATTTCAGTTATGTAACACATGAAACACAACATTTCATCTATTTCTATTTACAAGAACGAGCTTTCCTCCTTTTCAAATCCGGTTAGAAGGTATCAGTGATAAATCGAAACAAAGAAAACAACATTTAGTTTATTTCAATTGTACACTAGTTAGCATACAATTATGTTTAATTGATAGTCCAAAATGGTATAATTTAATGTCTTTTCTTTTAACAACAACGACAACAACAACAACAACAAAAAGAAAGTACAATGGCATTTTTGTACTGTTATGTCAAAACATTTTTTTAATTTGTTTAAAAAACAATGAATAAATAAATTTGTTACTATAATTTTTGATCAAATCATGACTTTTTAATTAGCTATACTGAGTTTATTTTCAATCTGTTCAATGAAGAGACAATCTTGGAGTTAAAAAAACCAATGCCATTAATATGTTAACATGATTTATAGTTGCACAACTTCGTGCATTGGTTAAAGTTAGACATTAACACCGTTGGATGTCGGTTCAGTGGTCTAGAGATTAAGTGTTGGTGCGCGAGGCTGATAGGTCTTGGGTTCAAATCTCACCAGGCGGGATTGTGGATGCGCACTGCTGAGGGGTCGCATGCTAGGACGAAACAGCTGTCCAGTGCTTTCAGGTTTCCCATGGTGGTCTTGCTTTAGTTGATTCATGAACTCAACTATTAAACTAGAAAATACCCAGAATTTTAACGAATAAATAGAATAAAACAAAAAACGAACACAAAAAACACAATGCAAACAATTTTCTGGTGTTAACGTTCTGATCATTTAGGAGTAAATAAACTTGTTTTAACAATGCTTCAATTCACTGATGAATTCATCTATTGAATAAGTATCTGATGATTCATTCGTCAAACGATTAAGTAACAAGAAAATATGAAACTTATTATAAAGTCGTAGATTGAATTTAAGCATTATTTATTATTTATTCTCAAGTTATCAATAATTGTTATATATTATTCAGAAAATAAAAAGAGAGATCTTCAATAGATATATATGGACTTTGGCTACCTGCTTGAACATTTAAGCTACCCCTTCTTGCCATCTGGATATTTCAACAAGTTATCTGTTTTCTGTTTGTTGCAATACATCATTATGGCTATTAATCGTATAACCTATTCAGGTGCGCTTCTGAAAAGTATACAACCTTTCGTTATACAAGTTACAAAAAGTCCAATCAGTGATATCGTGGTTACCGTCAATATGCAGCGAAGAGAATGCACATTATTTAGATGTCGATTTAGTGGACTGCTAACTTCGTCAGCATCGACCAAGAATTAAGAAACGGAAACTTGTTGAAATGCTTTGTGATGAGAATTATATATTGTATCAAAGATATAATATGAATAAAGCTAAAAATAAAAACTAATGGTCTCATCTATTTCAGTTAATGTTTGACACATAATAAATTATTTCTATTCAAATATATCAGTAATCAGCTCACTGAATCAATTTACCAACACAGACTCGTGTAATAGACATAAATCTGGATATTGTTTTACTATAAGTGTAACCAATGTCCACGGAAGTTTATAATTGCACCTCAAAACACAAAACGAGAATTGCAATCAGTCTTTTTTTAATTCTTCATACTTGTTCTCTTTTAGCTTTTATTCAGCTCCCAATCGTTTATTATTTGCTCACTAATTTTAATTGAATGGATCGATTCTAATCTTATCGTTTTATTTTATGTTTAATTCGTTATGTAATTAATCGATAATGCCGATTTGTTCACATGTTTAGAAACTTGGTACACTTTGGTAAATATAATACAAATATTAAGTTATATGAAATCCATAAAAACGTGAATGAATGAAGTTAATTATTCTAGATCGCTAGGTTAACAGCACTCAAATTGTGGTTATTATTTAATTTAACAATTACAAATCAAATTACTGCTATTTTAAGTTCAGATAAACACCAACGTTCAATATAAATTATGTGTAAATTACTAATAAGAGACTAATCGATTGCAGTCCTAAACTTCAATGGGAAGATTTAAACAATCAGTACGGGGGCAATATCCGTTTTTTACCAATAATACTTCATTATAAAAGATCAGGTATTAGTCAGACAAGTGATCGTAAACGGATTATATTTTCGCTTAGAGTTAGATCAACGGGAAGAGAGAACTACACGTCCACCTCAAACGCATCCATAGCTAATGCATGTCACCTCTCAATTGGTAAAGTATGTATGACATGGTTTGATTACAATCATATGGTAGACAAATAAACAAATAAATCAAGAGCTCAACCCTTAATTAAAGTAGCTCCTGAAAATTTGCGGAGGTTAGGGCTTGGCTGTATGTTAATCATTTCGAAGGATGTTGTAATAACTACAAGATATCCTGCATCCAGGAAACTGAACATTCTAGATGTTTATTCTTCCTCGGCGTAGGCTTTCCAGAACAAGTTCGACAATTGTTAATTTACTCATTTGTTCGGCAGTGTGAATATCACATCAGTTATTATCTGTTAGACACTGTTTCAACAGAAAACGTGTTAGACTACTGAAGCATAACAAAAAAACATTTAGAATCTTATCTAGCTAGTATAACTTGCACCATATTGTTTGATTGATATGATTATACACAAACCCATTAATTTGTAAGGAGATTCGTTTTTATTTTGATATTGTGGGATAGAAAGATGGCATTATCTTTTGTATCATTCCGGTATAAACTTTGATTTAATGCTAAACGTGTACTCTCGTTCAATCTGACGATTTTATTTCCTTTATTAATTCAAGTCTCACAAGACGTAGAAAAGTTTATTATTTTTCAATCGCTTTTATTCTATTTATTTGTAATTAGAAATCAAATCTTATAATAAGCCCAACCATTTCGGTCTAAACATCCTCTCAGTTATCTATGATTCTTTCGTATATAATAGTAGGCGACGAAACTGTGATTTAACACTATGGTTGATATACAAATAACATTTATCAAATTTGTGTCCTTTACAATTTAGACACTTATAACGACTTATTAAATAAGTAATCTATCCTATCACAAAACAATCTCCATTTACCTCTTCGTTGTTGTCCAAAAAGATCATAAAATGTAAATGATACCAAATAAATGATAGTTTGTAGTTACAAGAAGAGTATGTCCTTTTACTGACTCTGATTAAAAAAAGACATTTCTAATTTGAAATCCTATTCCGTGATGTATCTTTCCAGAAATTTCTGAATAAGGAACTGAATAATTATCGAAAATTATGAAGATCTATAACTGTTGTCTAGTCAAAATACAGATTTTCCGAAGTAGATAATTGAGTATATATTCATTATTGCAAAACATGTTGGATATAAATACACCCAGTCGATTACTTTCTTTATTAAAAGGCTTAAATAATAGGCTTTTTTCTTAAACAATTTTTAAATAACAGGTTAGACCGAAATTATTTTTTAAAAGCTTGAATCATTGTAAAGTAGGTAAACATCTGTACCGATATTGATCTAAATTTGCTGCATAGATATACATGAAACTATCTGTAAGAAAGTATCAATGAAATTACATACACTGAATTCATCTTGTATTTACTTCATTAACAAACATAATGATTTTAAAAGTTAATTATTTAAATATGTATTCCATGTTATTACAGTATATTAGTTACACGTTATGTCAGATGGAATAAAATCAACATGAGAAAAGTTCAATGCTTTTTTTGTATATTAATATTCAACAAAACTGAATGATAATGTGAAATGTACTGAAAATATGCTAATGTGAATTTAGTTTATGGTTTATTGTTTCGGGCTAGTTGAATTTTGAGTTGTTGTCCCGTCTATTACTCCATCGATCCATCCTCTAAAATATGCAACTCTTGTGAATAAACCTGGATAAAGCTCAGGTGCCGTAGCGTGTGTAGCTGAAGCTACACCAACAACGTAGTTTTTATCATCTTTCTTATAAATCAGACCACTCCCGCTATCACCCTAAAAAAAGCAGAAGGAAATTTGCCTTATTTAGTTACTCAAATGATATAAGCTTCTTAATTAAGCCCGTTCAAATAAATAATATACTTCATACAATAATATTCGTTTCATCACCTACGACCATAAAAACATATGCCACTCCAATAAGTTAACGCTAGTTGATTTAATAATGATCTTGTTGAATTCCTCTAAAAGTTGTAACGCATCTTGAAATAACCTTGATTCCCATTAAGACAGCTGAACACTGAATAATTACTTTTCCTAGTTTAAACTTGGTAACAGTTGAGGTTGACTATAATTCAACGATAACTTTAAATGATGGCTATATTACATGACGGGTAAAATGGAGTTGAAAAATGAACTATTTAGTTATGACATGTAAGGTTATATTAATTCCCCCCAAAATCTCAAGTAATAAATTTGATCACATTTTACTATATATATGTGAACTACCAAGTATTTTTAACATATTTACCCACCTAATACCTGGTGATTTTAGTGGCTTTTAAGTTGATATTTAGTGGTTACATAATGTAAATTTATCAAGAACAAGAGTAACTTGACCAATGTTTGAGTATATGCTACTTAAGTGGACAATCTTTGACCAAGGAAAATTATGAAGAATTAATCTTTCTATTGAGACGGTGGAGAGGATTTGTAGCTCAGGTGGAGTTTGTGCTGATAATGTCGTTCAAAAGAACGATGAAAGCTCCACGACCAAACCATCCAGCTCAGAGAACAAAACTCCACCAAAATTAATCTTTCTATTCCTAATTTCATCTGGGTTTATTTTATTCCTAAAAGGCTGCAGAAAAAATATTTACATAAGATACGTAGCACTTTATATTATTCAAAAGCTTACCTAACTTTGTCACAATAAAAACTAAACATTTGCTTGCTAATCATATGCTTTGGTGGTCTCGCTTCATTTCATCAGCATATATAACTGTAAAGTACAGTACAGTGAAACTATTCTCAGTGATTGTTATATACATGTTTCATAAAGTTTGCAAATACTGGTGAAGGTGAACTCTTAAGTGTTGATATACATTCATTTGTAAAAATAATCCATTAATGTTACAAGTAAGGTCATTTTTATTAATTTCTTGAATTGATATTCCATTTCAACGTGGAAAAGATAAAGAGATGTTTTTACTGAGGGCTGGACACTTCGATTTTAGTTCATTCTTTAAGTATTTCACAATAGATTTCCTGTGATCTACATTTTTCACAAGTCTATCCCTATCAATATTAGTTGTTTCAAATGTAGGCTTCTCGCAGCTAGCGAAAAATATCGAAACGTAACAGATTTTATTTATTCTTCAAATTTCGTTATTCGTGCTCTGATCAGTGATACCATTGGGAGATGATGTATAAATATTTGAACATCATCATGATAGCATTATTAGTTTTATTATTCTGATCTTGAATTTGCTTAGGGACATAATACTAATCTCTATCTCATTTGTAAAGTTACATTATAAAATCCGTCTTACAAAATACAATTTAATCGAATAGGAAACTTCTGAATCTGTAATTCTCGTAAAAACAGTCGTGACTAGATGTATGCGAATTTCCAAACATACCGACTGAAACTAGACTTTCATAATCACAAAAATTATTTTGCAATTCAAGTTGAAGAACAAATATTAGTTATAGGGCTTACTGAGCATATTCCTACTCGTCCTTGGTAATAGCCAGCGCAAAACTCATGTTGATCGTTTAAGCCTGCTGCATTGCCATACATAAGCGAACAGTCCTGATTTTTTAGTGTTAACAAATGAACAGCTTGAGCTTGTGCTGATGGTTTACCATTTTTTACACGACAACCCCATCCGACAAATATGCAATCAGCATGATCAGGTGGCCAAGCAAGATAATTTTCACCAGGTGGTAATTCAGCAGGTTGAACGCCTGGATCTTCCGACGGCAAGGGTGTTTCTAATTCGAGCAAAGCTAGATCATATTCTAGATCGTCTGAAAAGACAATTAAGTATAGAGTATAAATTTACCATTACTGTCAATCTTTACGATTATGGCCGTTAATAAACCTATGGTCTGGTTCAAGTGATAAAGTCCAAGTTACAGAGATGCAAAATTCTTGGAATTTCATACTCTTACTTATGAATGGCTGTTCAAATGAAAATATCTAGGCTTATAAAGGAATATTCTCCATGTAATGGTAAATTTTATGTAAAATTAATGAGTTATTGATGCTGCATAAAAACTTCAATATTTCACTATATATATACTTTATCTAGCAAAATTCGCTTAACAAGTTTACTTAGCAAAATTCACCTTTCTTCACTAACTATTCATTATAAGCTTACTTTCTCAATAATAATCATGTGCAAACTTCTACTCCACAGAGAACATCTTACCTTGGTGTTAGTCATATAAAAATATATTTACGTAAACACCAAATCCAGATGAATAAAAAGATAACAGAAAAAATAACAACCATAATGGCAGTATTAATCGTGATAGAAACATATCGTGTAAATATCTCTATCGACAGATTTCGTAAATTGACTTTTTCGTCTTAAAAGAAAAATTTAGTTACATAAAAAACTGCGGTTTGAACTTAAGAATACTTTTCAAACTACTTATCCGTATAAGCAACCACTTTTCCCCATTAAAATCTAAATTTCACTTATATAAAGTAATGAAACTGCTTAATATGACCTATGTTAAATGATATGATTAAACAAATTTCCACCTATAGATATGTATACGGTTGCAATTTGTCAGTATCTTTGAGCATAACTTTATTTATAAAAAATTTCATCCTTTATATTTTGATTCAGGCAAAATGATCATCAAAGTTGATACTTTACACCGATTTTCTTTATAATGTCGGCACACATTTTTAGATCGTTAAGATATTACCATGATAAATAAAGTTTAGTATCAAAAGAACATCATCCTGACTATCAGATACAGACATCAAAGGAATGAAGAGAATTTGGCAACAGTTGAATGGGAGAGCACAAGATATAATAGGGTGGAGATAGCTGGTTAGCAGCCTATACTAAACGAAAGATAACAAGCAAGTAACTAAAGTTGAGATTAAAACACAATTTGAAATGTCTTGAAAACACCATACAAAATAATAAATAGTTTTTTATTGATTTTAGAAAACAGAATAGTTTGTTTACTATTTATCATTATTTGTAATGCTTACCTGGTCTATAACTTGGATGAAGTATAATTTGTTTTACATGTGTATGCCAAACAGCTCCTTGTTTGTCTTTTGAACTACTACTAAATTATGATGCAAAAATATGAAATTTTAGAGGGAATGATTTCAAATATTGTAAACTATTCATATGTACAATGTAAAAGTCTGTTTCAGAATTTACCATATCGCATATTTATTGATTTATATACATTCATTAAATGTTTGTTGACATAACAGCAAAGCACTAAAATGTTTTAAGCGATAACTAACTAAAGTGTAATAAAATCTCGATGCAAAGTATTTAGATGCTTGAGAACCACCTCATTGATTATCAGATAAACGTTTTACTTAGTGGGATATATTTTACAATGGGATATATTTGTCCATTGATACTCAATTTTTATTTGTATGTTTATTTGTTTGTTCATTTAACAAGGCATAGCAACACACTAACTAAAAATACCAACGGTGTTATAATTATTTAACTGATCTCTTTTTACTACTGATATGTTCGACAAAGATATATGGATTTCTGAAAAAAAACTAACATTTTATTTTTAAATAGAAATTTACATATGGGTAAACTACAATCAAACAAAGTAAACTCCATGTTTGTCAAATGGTCAGAAAAAAGTGAGTGAATTATACAGGGAAAAAATACATTTATTATGTAAGAAAAAAGACAAGTCAAATGAAATTGATTAAATAATATTAATTTATTCAAGAATTTCATACTATTTTCACTACTGACAAATGTAAATAAAGTGAGAATACATGATCATAGCAGAATAATGTAGCAGAATAATTTAGTTGTGCGGTTAGAGAATAATTCAGTTATTGTCGGAATTAAATATTAGTAGTTTAGTTATTGAATTCATGAGTCTATTTAAGTTAGACAACCAGTGAAAACCCGGAAGCACTGGACAGCCGTTTTGTCCTAGTATTGGACTTTCTAACAGTGTGCACCCACGAACCCGCACGCGGAGCTCGAATCCAGGACCTTCGGTCACGCGCGTGAACGCCTAACATCTAGACCACTGAGCCGGCACCCAACGGTGTTAATGTCTGAATTCAGACAATTCACGATGTTTTGCGACTGTCCACCATTGTATTCAGTGAGTAACTGCCTCATGACAGACACTTACTCAAATTGACTCGTAAATTTAACCATTAAATAATTAAATTGGTTTGATATACGATATAGTTCTTCATTTTCTTTCCCGCTATAGACTCATATAATTATCAAACCAAACGAATGTATAACTAAAGTGATTTCGTCGAAAAAAGATAAGTATATTTCTCTTTAACTCCTAGATCTTTACGTAACCTTCTTCATTATTATTACAGTTGTTACTAGCACTGCTATTCGCCCATAGACAAATACATAAACATTCACCGCATTTATGTTATCTTAATATATTCATATCATTTTGCACATATTGTTGTCTTCTACCAAACATTCGATCTGATTTGTAATTACCATATTATTTCTCTCACTCTATTTTATCTGTATTTATTCTGAATATTTATTCTACAGCTTCATTTCAGCTAATACAAGATAACACTGTATATTAGTCATTTTACCACAAACGATTTTATTTTATTTTACTAATAATCCTTAATTTTAATGTTGTAATTTAAAACAATGAAATTTACTTTAAACATGACTTCAAACAATTAGTCCCTTTGATTAATTTCGATAATGTAATAAGAAGACGAAGATTATCAGAACTATGTGATATATTAGCGCAACACATTTTGAACAATCTGATCACACATATACTTGTTAAGAGCATTTATATATAAAATAAAAGGTCAACTAGACAGGAAACGGGGTAAGAGGAGATAAGGATAATGATAAGAGTAATAATAATAATAATGTGAACACAATTTGAAACCTAATCACTCTGCATAATAAGCCAATATTATCAGGGTAGGTTTAAGGTAAAAATGAACTGGTTTTGAACACACAAAGGGGGTTTGAATTTTCGTATGGCTAAGGCTTCGATAAACCTTAGTATGCGCTGGATTTACTTAAAATTCATTCGCTGAGATTGTACAAATATATATTCTTCCTCTTTAATGACTCACATTAACTCGGCGCCCAAATATTGTGAAACTATTCGTTCAAATTTAGATGAAAGTTCTTACTTAGTATACGCCCTTTTACACTTTTATAAAACACCACAAAAGCCGAGTTTAGATCAATCTCATGACCTGTTTCAATTATATGTTTAGCAAAAGAGGATGATGGATGTTTATCCTCTGCTCTTATTGGGTCACTTGATTATATTTGTTTCTGCAGCCATTTGGGTACATGTTCACTCGCCCTTATGTTTAGATCACGATTGCTCCTCCCTATGTATGTGTGACCACACACACATTTAAATTGGTAAACACAGTGGGATGTGACACAATCGTTTTCATGTCTTCTACGTTTTGGATGAAGCATGCACCTTGTTCTTTCTTTGATAATGAGCTTAGCTGCACAATACATTTTAATGATGACTGATTTAAGTCTTTGCTTCAATAAAAGGCTATTTGAATCACCTCTGATGTGATGTAGACAGGCTTTTTCTCTACCGAGGCTACAGTAGGTCTCGCTGTACCATGGACTTTCCATCTATGTATGAATTTCAGAGGATAGCCATTTTCTATTAATGTTTTATTTAGTAACTTAACATCATCATCAATGGCGTCATTTGTACAAATACGATCGAGCATGTGCGATCAGACTGTTCGAAATGTATTGCGCTAATATATCACATAGTTCTGATAATCTTCGTCTTCTTATTACATTATCGAAATTAAACATGATTGTATTTTTCGTGCTCAAATACATTCTATTGTCCCCAATAATGTTCTCATTCACTACAGTATAACTGCAGAAAATGAGGAGAATTCGTTGTAAGCAATATTTCAAATTCATATATCTGCGTTTTGATATGGTGAGAAATTTCTAAACAATAAATTATTTCATGATGGGGAAAAATTAAAACACCAGCTAATGAAGATATATGATACAGAGTTCTTCATATTTGCACTTGGATAATTAGTAAATCACATTGAAGTACATAGAAGCTTATCATATTAGAGACTGTAAGAATAAATAGTACTTTTCTTTCAGATCGTCAATTAATTGATTAAATACGATCTCATACTACTTAAAGAGATGATAAACAGTTCAAGCATTAAAAGCATAAATATATATGATGAGAATATTGCTCATTAGTTAAACGTTAGTTTACAATTACAATGAATACTTTCTATCAAGGAATTCTTCCTTACTGCTCATCAAAAAAAGATAAGGACAGATGAAACTGGTGTACATATTTACACTGTCCTAGAAACAAAGATAACTATTTGATAGAATTAGGTAAATAAAACATTAAAACCAGCTATACAAATACTTTAAATCTCTCAATTCACTTCTAGATATGTGTATATACACAGCAGTTTGAACATTACAGTTTATAATAAAATGAAATACGCATGCATTAACATCATTTCAATAAGACATTTTCTTTAAAAATGATAGATGAATTTAACTTACCTGGAGAAAATATCAATTAACCTTTTGATTAAAGTAGCTACAATAGTTTGACGTCCACTTGTACCTGGTTTTAATACATGGCCTCTATATCCATGTTCTTCACCTAACTAAAAATAGAATTAATTATATTATTTAGCTATATACTACTAATCTGTACAAATAAACGTATAAAAATTCCCGATGATTTATAGATTTTATCTTTGACTCTCTGGGACCTATTTTCATTTATTTGATGAATCTCAGTTTTCTAGGAAACGTATTTTGATCAATACAGAATTAAATAAATCATCGCTAAGTAATTACGGAATAGTTTCAAATAAATATCATGGAAATGAATAAAAAATAGTATACAAAGATACCTAACACTTGTGGTCGAATGAATCTCAACCTATGTCAAATAGCAAACTATCCTATAGACAGTTCATGGTTAACATGTAAACACTATATTTTGTGAGATTTCTTTGCAAGGAAATCTTGGGAAAACTTTTTAACAAAATATAAGAAAAAAACAACTGTAGAACTGTATAATTGTTCAAATAGCTCAGAGATGACTGTAAACACATTTGTAAGAAAGTTGATTAGCTATAAAGCGACTTAGAATATTTTATATTCATTATAACAGATCACTACACATCTTCAAATAAATAAATAATGCTCACATTATTTGATTCCTATCTTAGCGACTTCATTTATATACATTATCTGCTGCTTAATTATATGTAACATGTAAAGAGTTGCCTAGTTCATCCATGAAAACATTGATGATACCAATCCTACTAATGGTAATAATAATTTCAAAGGACATGAGAAAATGGAAGTGTTCGCTTATATATGTTGTTCTAAAATGGAAGTGGTTGAATGTCTGAAATGATAAGGGGTTAAATTTTTAGCCTAATAATCTTAAAACAATAAGATTAGTCATTATAACCATAAATTTGAAATGAAAACTGAACCAAAGTCAACAAAAAAAGCGTTGTTTGGATTTAATAAAGATGAGGTCAAGCAAACATAACCGAGAAATGCCAGTAAGGTAGTTGGAGCAGCTAATCAACTATCTTGTCAGTGGCAAGTGAACCAGAATTTCGTTTTATGCATACAAGGTGGGGATTTCGAACGCCAAATAGCCTCTGCTTCTACGTTAAAAATTTTTCTTACTTTGGTAGGCTATAGATTCATAACTTATAATATAATAATCTTATTTTCATAAGGTTAGCCGAAGAGTAACGACCTAATTTTTAGATGGATTATGCATCAATTTTATAATGGTCAACCAAATGTTCAGATGAACTAAAACTCGTTTTACATCCCAAATATCAGTCTAACAAATAAACTAATGACAACATCATAGAAATAAGTATTTAATTACCAATGATTGTCAGAGTCTCATGATAACGGATATCAATAAAAGTAACTTACTTCAATCACGTTACTTCCAGCTTGAACATGCCAGTTGTTTGGATCTAAAAGGCTGAAATGTAAATAATCGCTTTTGGTTGAAAAGGATAAATTCAAGCTATCAATCTTATCTGATTTTAAATGCCTAAATAGAATTTGTAAATCCAAATAACAATTCAGAATATTAAGGTTTGTCTAGATCTTCTGATTCAAGCACAATTCATAATACTAGAAAACTATTGAATAAGAAGCTGAAGTGGACATCTGTCACATGATAGTTGAATACTTCCCATTAATGCCCCTGCCTACCCAACTAACAGTTGATCTCTGTGCCTTGAGCTTTCGTGCATAACGTGTTACCATTATATCTGTCCGTTAACGTTCATTCAACACTAATGGTTCGTGGAAATTGATATGATTATCAAATCAGTAAATTTTCTGTTAATCAGATTAATCAGAAATGTCTTTGATTATTGAATAAAGGCAAAGTGAATTCTGGGAAGAAAATTTTTTTTCAACGAAGTGGTTCATATTTGCATGTCGATGTGCATCTATAAATTTACTTGTTCCTGTGTGGCAGTTAAATTGGCTGCAGAGAGCGAACACCTTCCGAACACATCTCAGAACAGTACCAAGCGTGGCTTTTAAAAGGAGAGTGCAAAATAGTCACCATTTCAACCCAAAAGCACTTAATCAACTCTGAACTCGTCACTCCAAAGGAGTCTTCCTTCAGAATAATGTACACAAACAAAGAAACTGAAATGAAGGGAGGCCAAATCAAAAACTTATGTACGGCTGAGCCGTTTGCAATCCACCAATTCAAATCCGGACTCTTCATGCGAAAACCATAGGTCCAACCCTTCATTCTTTTTTGAACCTAACTCCCTTCTGTATTTTTTTTCTTCAAAATCATTGTTTTGTAATTTTAAACCTTAATAAGTTGTCATTATGCTTTAATAAATTTTTCATAATTTTTGTTTAGTTTCACTGTTATAACCATTATGTTTTTCTTTTTTTTCATATCTACCAAGAGGTCAATTATCTTTCATAATTCTGACCTCTAAATTACTTTCATCTTCCTATTCTTCTCTAACCGCTTGATTATTACCTAACCTCATTTCATATTCAAAGTCATGAATCACTGTGTGATGTAATATTTTCTATCTTTCTATAAGCAAATATTTACCATACAACTATCAATGTGAATGTACAGCATAAGTTAATGATTACGTTGCAAAGAAGAAATTTCTTTCCAGAATTCTCTTTATTTTTATTCAATGATACAATGAGTTGTCTTAATTGTTTTAAGATGTCTCTAAACTCAAAGAAACGTTTTTCAAATGTATTACCATATTTTTACCACATTCTGCCTAAGTGTAACTAAAGAAGTGTACGACGTCTACAACAGAATTTCTTCTTTTTCCTTTCGTAGGTCATTTGAATTTTAATTAAAGTAAAAATTGTTAACATCGAACCTTATGAATTATTCATAAGGTAAATGCCTTCTCTATTCGCCGAATAAAAGTATACAATGTTAATAAAATAGTTTACCATAAAATTGCTTTCAAACTTATAATTACTGGGATTTTCTCCATGATCCAGCCCAAAAACAATGAGCAGCAGTAAGTAACCAACGATCTCGTATAAATGTTGATCCACAATATGTGATTTGTTTGAATACAGGATTTGTACCTTTTATAGATACAGCCCATGGGTATTCTAATTTTTCTGCTTTTTGACCATTAATTACACGTTTTTGTATTTGTAATGGACTGAATAGATTATGAACTGAAAATTCAACATATAGATATTTGAATCACTTACATGAATATTTAGTAATTTCTAAAAATGTACTAATCACATATAACATTATGTATAATTATCTTGTCTTAACCACCTACCACATCAAATATTTCTTAAAGGAATCGCTAATGATTAGTTAACTTACGAGTTGTCCTTTTCTCACTTGGGTTCAGATTCCATAACAAGTGTTTGAAATCTTTTTTATATGCATTGGACTATTAACTGAACTAGACTTAGACATTAATACACATTTATAATAAGTGGATATATATATATATATATACCCAGCTAATCTTGTCAAGAATCCCTTACAGATTTTATGTCATTTTCAAGCTAAACATCAACTTACTCTCCTCAATTTATTACGTTAAATCATCTCCCATTGTAAGACTTGTTGATTTCATTCAGTATGTTACTGTAAATATAATCACCTTAGCTTAGATCTTACTATATGTTTAACAGTTTATACATGTGTAGCCACGTACATGTACCAAAACGACTAAAGAAACAAATAAAATTACGAATAAACAAAAGCAGATAATAAACATCAATCTTCTTGTATTACTAAACACAGTTGAAATAGGTTATAAGATTGATTTAAACTTAATCTTCATGGTTTCGTGTACAAGTTATCTAGGCCGTATACCGAAGTTTATTGAAACATAGGTCATTCGAAAATGAAAACTACTGTTATATATATATATATATACCTCAAGCCTACTTAAGTAATATTGCTCAATTATCCAGCGTGATGAGTTCCACACTGTTTTGCATCATATTTTCTATTCTATAATTCTATTTACACTTGTGTTAATTGAATTTGAAGAAATGGTTTAAATGAATTTACAAAACGTCAGAAATGCAAATTTTTACTCATTGAGATATCACAAATATCTCATTATTATACAATTAGCATTCCAACAAATGCACAATATACTTGAAATTATCAAGTTAAAATTCCATATTGAAACTTTATAATCTTTCTTTTGTTTTACATTTTATTTGCTTAATTCATCATTTATATTTCCAAGTATAAATGGTGTTAACTACTATCCGTCTAATCGAATTGTTCAAAATGTATTTTGTTAAGGGTTCACATAGCTCTGACATTCTTCACTTATAACATTATTGAAATCCACATAGTTTACAGTGTCCATCATCAAAATGATATCCTGATAGATCATATTATCAGTCTTTAAATGTCTCTAACTCATAATATATAAAACAATAGGATTTAATACGATTACTTACGAACATATTCATATATCATTGTTAACTTACCTAAAATTATTTCACATGTAAATATGATATACACAGGAAAAATCCTCATATTTATCACTAACAATTATTGTTTATTAAAGTAACCGAATGAAATGAATTAACATTAACTGAATTCAGTAAAGATAAGCGATAATGAAAAATACACGTATATATAACATTCAGTTTAATGTAAATCATATTCTGTGCAAAAAGGACATACACCATTAAATATGTTCTCCCTTTTTTTTTCTTTTTCTCTTTCTTGACTTTATGAAATAAATAATAAACAAAAAAATTCTAACAAGAGTAGATCTGATAGTGTTAACTAATAAATATCAATGAAAAAAAACACAACAAAAATTGGTTCAGGTTAAATTTATCATGAGAAAGAGAAAGAGAGAGACAGAGAGAGAGAGAGAGAGAGAGGAAGTAACAGATTTGATTTCAAAATTATACCCAAACAAATAAACAATAAACAAAAACAAAAGAAAATATTACCCAAAAAATACATGGTAACCAATTCCATTTTAGTAATTAACCACATAGATTACAAGGTTGAATGTATAAATATTAGAATTGCATGTCTATATACATATGAATGTTGTTTACAATATATTCTTCCATATAAAACATTAAAAATCAGTCTGTAAATCACTGAAATTTAATTTATCACTAAAATCATTAAGAAAGTAACAATTCTGGTGAAAATTCATTGGTTTTTTTTTCTAAAATCATCTTTAATTTATGGATGGCTAAAATTAGACTATTGTATTCGGAAATCATTTGGACATACAGAATTTAACTTTTTTTTTAAATTTGAGAATAGTTTCTAGTTTGTGTTTGAGAATTTCCATAGTACTCGATAGCTTATTTTCAAGGAATATACAGAAAGGTTTGTGGTAAGTTATGCTCTAACACTTCAATGATTGTTGTGGTTTTTTCAATGAAAATACATCAATGCTGATTCGAATAATATGTCGTTGATCAATAAGGATCCATTTGAGAAAATATTCGATGATTTTCAAGCTGGCTTTTTGGTGAATTCAGTTCATTTTTAAATGGAATTCATCAATTTAAAGTACATATACTTTCGCAAAAGTATTTTAGATAATTTTAAATACTAAGAGAATCAAGTATATGCAAAAAACATCTACATGAATATAATGTGAACTAGAGTTTCTATCTATTTTTTATCAAACGTATGTCATAAAGGAATAATGTATTCATGGAACGTCATAAGAGTTGCGAAACAGGGAATTCGTCGGTCAGTTTAGTAAACTTTATTAGCTGTTCATTTCATAAGTATTCTAATCAACTAAATGATTGCAGTCTATTGTAGACAAAGACGTGTTTCTCATCAGCAGAATGCACGTTGTTCTATCAAACTGCACAATAAATCCTATCTTTATTCCTGAGAAATTAGCCAAAAGATGTTAGGTTTGTGACTCGTTTGAATAAATTAGCCTGATATCACAGTTTCTTCTTACTTCATTTTTAACATTTTGGTTATCAAATGACCGGGTAATGTACAGTTTAATGAATAAATCAACCCTTCTTAAACGTAATTAAACGCTTGTGAATTTCAGCAATTCGAGAATAAAGTTTGATGAGGTTGTTTATGCATTCTGTAAACCTCACGATAGCAAACGAAAGATTTTACAAGATTATTTGTTAGCTACTTTAATGAAATAATTGAAAGATCAACTGATGACTGTTACCCATGCAAGTAATAATTTCATGTTTCTTGTTACCTGTCATCTCAGCAGTGACCACTTCATTCTTACGAAAAATTGTAAATTAACATTATATAATTATTCTTATTATCAAAGCAGCCACGATAGCATTTTCCGGTTTCGTATAATGGTCATATTACTGTCAATACCGTGAAAGATCTGGATGACCAGACCACTTCTACGTTGCAACGAACTTCACAGTGTATCATTTCAGTTGAAAAAACACTGAATATCGATTTGCTCGTTGCATTGCAATAACCGAGTCCGAAAAACCATATTGATACATAAAAAATGTAACGAGGACTACTCTATTGTTTTAATTTACACTACACGAAATGATTACAAAATCGCTGAATAAAACGAAAACAATCCATAAATCAAACTGCCTTTTTTTATGCTTTTCAGAGACCTAAATATTATAAAGAGTGGCATAATATACTAGAAACATAAATAAAAGTTAATTTATCAGATATTTATTCTCCGTTGTTATTTACATTGTTACCTAGATCATTTATCAACGTTGCTGTCAGTGACTAAGGTTAACTAATAGAAACAACTTAACACAGAACAGCTATTTTCCTTCAGTTTGCAGTTTTTCAAAAGTAAGCACCTAATCACTAACCCAGGACTTTATGTCCCGGACCTCAAACATATCAGATGATGATTAATACTGGAAAAAAGTATTCATGCTTTAACTCGCATTCACACAAATCACATTTACAATCATGCAATAATATTCGTTCTTAGTTTTTCGTACTACGTAACGGAAATACTCCCTTCTCTTCTCATTTTGTGCCTTCCTTTACTTTTCAACTTCTAGAGGAGCTCGCCTATGGTGGAAACCTTGTCCTATATAAATGATCTCAAGTCACTGACTGATCGCAAGTTCGAGGCTACCACCGACTACAAATACTGAACCAGCATTCCTGAAACCACATATACCGTTTAAACTGGCCTCCATCAACGTTCGTACACCGATGCATATCCGGCGTGAGTGAAACTATCGGTGAAGCTGATGGTATGCCAATCAATGACACCTAACGACATCGTAGACGATGATCAGAGTTTTATGAGGGGCAGATCAAGTGATCTGCTGCCCCAGTGACATCGATGAGACTGTTCTAACCTACATCCCAGATGTTAGAACAACTTCATACTTATTACAGGCCGACAATCGTAATGCTTCATGATATCAGGGCTGTCTTCGATTCTTTAGACGGGACTGTCCTTTCAGGCAGCATTGCTCAATCACATCATTCCTCTTCAATTTTGCCAATGTTGACTTTCTGGAAACAACTCTAATGGATGTAGGCAATGGTGGTGTGGATCTTTTACCTGGAGAAAGATTCCTCGACCTTGAGTATGCCGATGATATTGTCTTATTGTGCGATGATACTCAAGCCATGCAATTCGTATATAAATAGTTGGCAGTCAGCACCCGTAGATATGGTATGTGCTTTGTAACTTCCAAGTGCTAATTATATTTACATGACTGACAGGACCCGAATCAGGCACTCACTCTGGGTAGTGTGCAGATAAAACCAGTCGAAACGTTCGTGTATCTACGTTGCTGAGTGAGTGCTAGTAGCGGCTTGAATGATGAGTTCACTTATATTGAAAGCCAGAGCGGCTTATTCCAATCTGAGCCTTCGCAAGAGAGCAGTTTTGCTATACGCTTGTGAAACCTCGCATCTCCGATTTGAGGATATTGGATGACTCCCTGCGTTTGAACGTTGCAGTCTCCAAATGCTTTGTGACGTCCAGTGTTAACGCTTTGCCTATAAAGCAGAGGATTGGCATCGCGTGTTTAGGCACAATGACGATAATTCAATTAATATCACCATCTCAAAAAGTCGATTTCGGAGGCTTGGACATGTCTTATAAATTTTTTCCAGGAGAGTCCAAAGTCGTGCATTATTTGTCGACCCTGTGATCGGTTGGAAAAGGCGGAGATATGGTAGTGTATGGCATGGTTTTGTGGTGTGAAAGTTGTACAGAACAGATCTATGCTACACTTCTACGACTCCCTGTTTAAAGAGCTGAATCTGGTGCAGCACAGTGGCATGAGACGCCA